GGTCGAGCAGGAGCGGGGCGACCCCCCGCCCCGGCCCGGTCCGCTCTGCATGCGTTGCTGCCTGCCCCTCCGGCCTGCTGTCCGCCAGCCCCGGAACCCTCAGCTCCCCTCAGCCTTCTCCTGCCCGCCCTGCCCTTCGTCCTGTCTCCCTGCCTCCCTCGTCTCCCCTTCTGCCTGCCCACCCCCCTGCCTGCCTGCCGGCTCCTGGCCAGCCTGCCTTCCCTGGCCTGTTTTCCTGCCCCCTGGCTCCCTGCCTGCCCCCCTGCCAGTCTGAGGAGGCGGTGTGAGGTTTTGGAGCTGCCGGGACACGCTGGCTGGCCATGAAGCGCAGGCAGGCCTGAGCAGGTCATCTCCCGCGCATGACTGCAGGCTGCCATGCACGGCCCCCTCGGAGTGCACTTTCCTGTGTATGAATTTTCCAAGTTTTGTTGTTTTCTTGAACAAAACGGAAGCAAATAAGTAAGAAAGAGGGATCCGACGTTATCGTTTGTTGGAAAAAATCTTTCTCTCAAGCACACGTGCGGGTTGCTGGATGTGCTGGGCACTGGTGCTGCAGGGAGCAGGAAAGGTGTTCACGGCAGAGCTGGGGTCGGGGTGGAGGCAGGGGAGACTGCCAGCCCAGCAGACCCTCCTAGGCCAAGGTGGGGACAGCAAGGGAGGGCCAGCAGCTTGCAAGGACTCTGGGACGTGGCTGAAATGATGCCCTGGGATCCATGGAGGAACGGTCTGATGTGCCACTGACATTTTTGGTTTTGATTTGATTATTTTAATCCAGGTGCCGTGATTGATACATCCCATCTGCTCTGTTTTTATTTTCCAGAGTTTGGAGGATGTGAGGAGCTGCCAGAGGAATCACTAATATTTTCATTTCTGCTTCTTCAGGTATGAAGATCTTCTATGGCTTTATGTTTTTGGTTTTTCTTGAATTGGTGTTAGTTTAGGAAATTCTTTATCAGTGACACTAGTATAAACTGAGTGATTACACAGGTCTTTTTATGTGGAGCAATGTCTTGACCCACCTACACATAAAAGCTGTAAATGTGCACAGGTCTGAGTGCTTCTGACTTAATATAACCGCTGCGTCTTGTGGCAGTGACTTGTGATGTATTCTTAGTGCACCAGCTCTGCCTCGCAGTTGTTTCCACTGTGTTTCTCTGCAGCCTTTGGGCTTCGCCATACTACTGTGTTTTCCTGTGATCCAGTAGTCTTTTTTTTTTTTTGAGAAGGAGGCTTGATCTTGTCTTGCAGATGCTCAGCCTGATGCATCATGCAGTAGGTCACATGTAGTGGTGGATCTTCCAGTGACTGTCCATGTGGGAAGCATGCATTTTGCTTCCTGAAATATGTGCATTAAAGAAAGCTGCAATAAGAGACAGGTGGAGTGAAACTCTTTTTGTAGCTCAGGACGTACTCGGCCATCACTCCATTTTAAATGCAGTCATATAACCCTAGTAGTAGCTCGCTACTTTCTGAGGCCTTGTGACTGGTGACTTTTATAGCTTTTCACAAAGTGGATGAGTTGGAGTTGCTCAGAAGTCCGCAGCAGACAAAAGAATATCTCAAGTCTCATTTTGTTGAGTAGATGGAGTTATTGGCAGAGTGAGTGAGACTTTCAGCCAAGACAACTCAAGTGGGTTTGTGAGTGCCCAGATGCCTGTGTAGATGTTTTCTGGTGCGTGCCGGCCAGTTGATACTCTGCCGCTGCATAAGCAAACAATGGCGTGAGTGGCTGGGCTGTGATGTGGTTGCTGTGGTGGACTGGAACTGTAATTCAGTGGCTGGGAGACCTGGATTCAATTCTTTGCTCTGCCACAGACTTCCCATCTGACTGGGGCCCAACTCCTTAGTCTGTCTGGGGTGGTCTGTGTTGCACAACACAGCATTGTGCAGAGATCCTGGGGCGGGTATCAGCCGAAGTTTAGCTCTGGGACTTGGTGCTCCCCTGCCTGAGAGCTCTTTAGCTCTGCTGAGGACATGAGCCTCTAGGGCTGCATTGGTGACTCTCTCCAGCTGCTTTGGACCCAGAAGACCTCACAGCATTTGCAGCTAACTGAGGATTGCTAGTACAGCATTGAGGTGTGTGGTACGGGCAGACCCTCTCTTCCTTTCCCATCTGCAGTAGTTTAATCTGCTTCACAGAGGAGATCTGAGCGTAAATAGGATAGTGATTGTGAGGTGCAGTCATGGAGAAGGCCACCAATACGTGTCAGAGTGATATCGTTTTATCCTACCCTGCACAGGAGTGTATGAGTACATGACGGTTAGATTTTGGAGATTCTGTCACAGAGTCTCTGGCAGGGCCTCAGACGGAGCGTAGAGCTCCTGTTTCTTTCTCACGTGGCTCAACATGAGACCTCCTTTCTTGTGAGTGAAGGTAATAGTGACCTTCCGTGGGGCCCAGTCTCCGTTCCCAGTAGCGCTATGTTTGTTAAGGGAGCTTGCATTTTCCTGGGGAGCGAACAATGCCTGACTGTAGATGTGTTCTCAACTCCTATCTGTGCCTTATCTGCCTCCGAAAAGGCAAACATGAAACTTAAGCTGTTTATTAGCCTGCATGCTTTTAAGATACCACAACCTTGAAAGTACAGTGTCTGAGATTTTTGCTTCTGAATTGATCACCTCAGTGCTAATTGTTTTTTTTCAATTGTAAAGTGAATCCTGCCTTTTTCTGTCCTTTTCCCACTTTCTTCTCCCTGCCCTATGCCCCAGCTCCAAACATATTTTTCTGTCCTGGGGTTTCAGCTGCATTTGGTAAGGTCTGGATCAAAATGGTGACTGGAAGTGTCAAGAGGCGAAACGTGGAGAAGCGCTTGACCACCAGAGGCTGGTGGCACAGGATGTCGGTAGGCAACATGGAGAGAACAGTGGCTTCCTTGCTCAGTTCCAAGCACAGAAGACACTGTGAGGACAGACCATCAAAATTGTCACCTCTCACAGGAAGCATTTCAGATCAAAACACCGCTTTTCAGAACAAAGGGAGAATTTCTTTACTTCCCATCCTTTGTGACTTCAGTGCAGCTACTCCTGGTGGATACACAATTCAGGCAGATTCAGCTGAGCTCCTGTCTCAGCAGAGCAGAAATATTACAGAAGCGTTGCGCTGAATGCTTAAATCCTTGACTCGCAAGCAGGAGCATTCACAGGAGTGCACACTGTCGTACACATTGTACGCTGCTTCTGGCTGGTGGGACAGTACCCTGCAATCAGACCCCACAGATGGGCTCGTGTAACGTTTGCTGAGCGTAAAACTTTTTCTGTAGGTAAAAAATCACTAAGCCCCCGTTTTCAGCATCATATGCCAGATGCTAGCCTGTCTTTGAATGGCTGAATTCTTGCCTTTTTACAACGGATTGCAAAAATGATTCCGACTGAAGCGCAGAATTTACAGTAATTTAGGAGAAAAGTGAGGACTGTGTCTGATGAAGGCCCCACCCAAGTCAGCATTCTGAGATGAGGACACCCCAGTTGGGCAGTGGAGTCCCTTGAGATCAGGCCAGCCGTGTGTAACTTGGGTTTCATTGAGAAGCATGTAGCCATCTGAACTGTGAACTAAGAACCAGATTCTGCTCTGATATGGGATTTTTGCTGTGACCATCTGGCAAAGGACTTCAAATCTTAATGGCTGCTGAAATTCTGGAGGAAACATCAGAAGTTAAAATGCCTTTTTTTTGGAGGTGTAACACTACTGACTCATTAGTTCACAGCTGCCCTGATGTTTTCTCAACAGGAGAAGGGAGCTGCACAACTCAGGATCAACACAGTGAATACTGAATGACAAATGTGTTGGTCACGCCACTGCTTCAGCATAGTTCGATCTCAGTAACAGAGATCTCCAGTGGTGTTTCTCTGTGGGGATGTTTCCGGGGTGGCCTCTCCAGGGTGAGGATTTTGCAGCTGGGGGAGCAGGAGAGAAGAGGACTCTCTAGGTGGGGAAACGAGGGTGTCTGTGAAGACGCTGGCTGAGCACCGCAGGAGCTGCAAGAACATTTACTTGACTCCCTGTTTCTGAAGAAAGGTCATCAGCAGCTTTTGTGGTGCGAGGGTCATTTATTCAGCTCAGATGCTGTCGAAGGTTTAGACTACGCTGTAGAGCTTCCTGCTGCTTTTCGACAGTGACTCTGTTGTTACACATACAGGAAACACCTTGAGGGGATCAGGCAGGGAAATGTGCTTAGTTTGAAATCCAGCAGCTGAAATGGTGTCAGCACTGGTGGAGCAGCAAGCAGAGACTGGAGGGCGGTGTTGTGGCTGTGTGCTGCTGCCTTCAGCATCCCCTCAGGCATTTCTCAGCCCCCAAGTTCATCTCTGAAATGTACATTGACCACTCAAGGGATCCAGTGAGTGGTTGGTTCACTTCTGTGTTATTATGGGCTGTGTGGAGAATTTAATTTATTAGTAAATCAAAGAGAACTGGTAAATGATATTAGATACTAGGATTCATTAGACATTCAGGCTCTGAACTGATGGGCAGATGGGCTTAAAAACCACAAGACAGCTCTTCTGGGTGCACTTCTGTCCGCTATGCCTCAGACATCAGTGAGGCGGTGTGATGTGCACACGTGTCAAGCTTTCCAAAGCAGCCAGTGTTGTGTTTTCGCTTGGGCAACTGCTGGGATGTGCTGCGTGTGGTGGAAGCACAGCCTCCGCTCTGCGCAAGTGTTGCACCTGCCCAGGGCCTGTCAAACCCCTGTCCTTCAGCAGCACGGACGTTGCTCCTGTCACTCAGCTCCAAAAAAGGCCCGTGTAGGTCATTCCTGAGCTGTGTGGCACTGATATACTGCTGGTCACTGTGCCGAAGATAAGCTTGTCAGAGAGGTGCAGGGTGGACATGCTGAATAGAAACAGATTGGCTAATTCTTTCTTAATTTCCATTTCTTCAAGATGCTCCTGTCCCGCTCTGTGCCTTTAGAAGTGTGACGCTCGGTGCTGGGCGCAGCCTGCTGCGGGACAGACAGTATCATCGCGCAGCCAGGATGGTGGCATTTAACTGGAAGGTGAGGTTGTTTCACATTCATAAAGTGGTGAATTTCTGCTCTTTCAAGCAGATGCATGTGAGATGTGGCTGGGTGGGTCCTGTGTTCAAAGATGGTTTCCTTGCCTAGGCGAAGGTTGTGTAACCACCACACTCTCTGCACCTCAGGGACAGAGCACTCGTCGTTGTCCTTTCTTGCCATACATGCCTGCACCTTGCGGACTGGCCCCAGTACTTGCTGTTGGAGCCTCACACTTTAGACCTGAGCGCAGTGCTGGTAGGCAAGCTCTACTCTGCCCACCTCTGCTCCTCCTGGCTTTCCTCTTTCTGGGCTTTTCTCCAGCTGCTCTTTCCTCAGCTCATTCGTTACTGGAGAGTGTTTTCTCCACTATGTCTTTTAGTGTATTGGGGCCATAAACACTCTGCAGAGTGTGTGTATAAGAAAAAGAAATGTTTGAGCAAGTACCTCATGCATTAACAATTTTAACGTGAGATCAAAGCATTTATCAAGAAAGCAATGCTAACCCCAAGCCTTGGCTTTACCGTTCTGGTATTGCAGAGCTGTGGTTTAAAGAGATTGCTATTTTTAATACGTGGGGAGATTGACAGAGGATGATGATTTTTTGCAAAATTAAAGGGGAATGGCCTGATGTCAAAGGTAACATGCAGCTTGTAGAGTTCAGCATTGTAAAAAGACCCCACTTGAGACTCTGATTTGTGGACTTTAAGGGGACACACTAATGGTGTATGGATACAAGGCTTTTTCTAAATTCAGTAGTTTGACAATGGCCAAACAGCTTTTTGAGGTGCTGGAAGGCCTGCTAAGGATACGGGGAGTACTGGGAGGCTTGCTGAGGGGGAGCTGGCACTGTGGGCCTGCTGTGCACACTGAATGACTGGACTGATCCTGCTGGCCAGGTGCTTTGAAACAGTGGGCTGGGAAGTTCATGTACCTTCAATATTCTTCTGGAATTGACATCTTTCACTGAGTGCCTGTGCCACCCTTGTTATATTTGTATTCGAAATTCACAGTGTTACCCATTTGCATTTGTCTTCCACTCCATGTGCACTTACAGTGGCATGCTTTTATAACACTATTATAATAGTGTGATACATTGAAATATATTGTGCAATTTCAGTGGTTACAGGCATTAAAAACTCCTGAAACTGAATCATTGGAGGCTGTGAGTTTTTTACATTTTTTCCAGTTTAAAGGCATTTATCTATGCCTTCCAGATCTGGGCAAGTTGCAAAGCTATCAGGGATTAAAATTTCTAGTAGCACAAAAGTGTCTTTGGTGGATCACATCTGATAGCTGCTATGTACCAATCCATGACTCATGTGAGGATTGTTCCACTTTTACAATTGTCCTAAGATATTCAGCTCTTCCCCTTTTTCAGCTCCAGACTGTGCCAATATTCCATTTGCTGTAAGGCAAGCAAAAGCAACAAAGACCTGTTCAAAGGGGCTTCATATACAAACTTGAGTGAAGTGAACTTGTTCTTTCTCCTAGACTTACCTGTTCTACCTAGTTTAAAGTTTCCTGCAGAACAAGAATGCATGAACAGACGAGCATTACCATTGCTTTGAACAATGCTGTTTCTGTAGGACACTGTATAGCATCCCTGTAGATACATTTTTAATTGTCCAAGTGTTCCAGTAACTGCCTAAATATATTATTTTGCATTTCAGGCTTTGGAGAATTTCCCATTGCTGATGTACATTTTGGCAGCTAAAACATTGATTCTTTGCTTAGCATTTGCTGGAGTAAAAATGTACCAGAGCAAAAAAATTGAAGAAAAACTGAAGAGGGAACGTGAAGAGAAATTGAAAGCAGAAGCAGAGAAGAAGGATGATTGAAGAGTCTCTCAGGTATAGAATTTATTCGACATCCTGGTGTTTGATAATGGCATTGACATATTAATCTTGTGATGTTTTGACTTGGATACGTTTGGATTGTGCAATTAGAACTATCACCAGTATCTGAGTTCTTGGAACATTTGTCTCCTGTGATGTTTCAATGTATTTGCACACCCATATCATGCCCATTCTTTGTAGGAATTGCCGTTTTCACCAGAAAACTTGACAGCCATGCTTCATGATTTAGGAGATCTTAGCAAAGTATTCCTTTTCTGCTCTTAATCTCCCTGAATTTTTTATGCCCAACCAATTGCACAGGAAGTCCTCCTGCATAAAGAGATGGTTAAATTGGGAAAAAAAATGCATGAGAGGCATGCCAGACAGGATGATACAATAAGACCTCTTGGCCTTAAGTCACAAAATTAAGATAGAAAAGAACCAGCCATTCCATATTAGTTAAATGCATGACAAGTTGTATATAGTTTAGCTGGAAGGGCCAAATCTCATGCCACGAAACTTCCCAAGGTAATGGGAATGCTACAGGTTTTGCTGTGTAACATCTACCATATATACCTCACTGAGAAAAAACGGACATCTTTGCATAAAAGACCAAAATGAACATTACAAAATTTCTTAAAGTTTTGGGTTTTCATTCCCTGAGTGCTGAATTTCTTCCCTCTGTTTTCAAAGTTTAAGCAATCATTGCCTAACTGGATCAAGTCCGTTAGCAAAGTGAGTACTGCCTAGTGCTAAGATTATATTCCCTGCTTTGTTTGCTGTGTGATTTTTGTATCAGTTTGTTTCACATCTTTCTGTTCTGCAGCAAAATGGGAATTCTATTCCTGCCTGCCCTTTGTAAACTCAGTGGGAGTTTGATGTAATGTTACTCTTTATTAAACTAAAAAACCTACTTTCCCCTTTTGAGGTCATCACCTCACACATGAACAGAGTTTCAGTTTTTAGAAATGTTTACTAGTTTTGATTTCAAACCTATCACTGTTTTATTTTGTGCTACAAGGATTTGGAAATTGTGACTAGAAATGAGGCCCTGGATATAACCATGGGAACGAAGTGGTTCATTCGCGTAGGAAAAACAACAAGAACAAAGGTGGTTTTCAGTCTCCTGTTTACATCAGATTGAGGACTTGTCTCTGGGCAGACTTGTGCCATTTAAAACTTTTACTTTAAATCAGTTTCGCTAGCCCCTGGAAAATGGTGTGAGAACACTTCTTTCTGGTTTTGCAGAATAAGTCAAAGCTATATGGAGTTTTATTGCTAAACAAATGAGAGATGGGCTGCCCTGCAAGTGAGCAAGCCTGCTGCTTGTAAGGAGGAGACCATACCGTGCTGTGTGAGCAGCGTTGGGTCCTAGGGAGTTCTCTTTGGCAGAGTCTGTAGCCCAAGGGATTGCTGCACCAGGGTAAGGAGCTCATCCCACAGGGTCTCTGTATCCAGCATGTGACGTTGACCTTGTTGAATGACTGGCATTAAAGCTTCTCTGATTTCATAGAAAATACCCTACTTGCCCAGTCACCCAGTGTCACCTACCAGAAGCCCAGTCTGTCCTAAATTCTGCCATCTCTTGGGCTGTCAGCCATGTTTTTCTATAATGGGATTGTGAGAAGGGGTGACTTCTCCTACCCTAAAAATGTTCTCCAGTGTCAGAGCTGTGATTAGCTCCAATTGCAGCGTGCCACGTGGGCAGGCAGATTTAGCCCATGTGCTGCCAGCATATCATGCCTGCTGTTCTCACTGCTGTTTCCCCACCCTGCAGATTTTCTGACACTTGGCAGCTTGCGTTGGATTCCTTTCCTGGGAGAATGAAGCCTTCCTGTAGATGAAGGATGTGTCAAAGGAATAAAACCCTTGAGAGTAACATTCACGTAAACCGTATCTCAACTTTTTATATGTACAGCAAAATATCTAAGCCTCTATTTATGCAATAAAAAATCCTTTGTAAAAAAAAAAAGTAATGGCCTTGGTTGCTGCTTACTCAGATGCTACAGTTATTGCTGCGGGGGAGGCAGTTTTTAAAGATTGGCTGGTTTTAAAGAGAAAACCACTCTGAATCCATCATGGGTGTGTTCGAGGTTCATGGACAGACAGAAGGAAATGGGGAGGGCGCTCTGCAACTTCTGAGCAGCTGCTTCTTGCAGGGGTGTGAGTCTGAGGCTTGCGGGCCCTCTCTTGAATCCAGATGAACAAACCCAGGAGAGGAGTTTTTCCAGGCAGGTCTGTCTTTCTCAAACCACTTTCCGCACCTAGGACTTCCTTAGAGTAATGCAAATCACAGTGTCAGTATGAAAACCTTTGGGGAAGTTTCATCATTTTGCTCTGCACAGTATCTGAGAACTGTGTATGGCTCTCCACTACTCGGCCTATGAAGCAGAGAGGGTTTTTGTGGTTTGTTGGGGTTTTTTTGGTTTTTTTTTTTACTGTTGCCAGCTATTCCTACACGAGCAATAACACCAAATCCTGGAGGGTGAGCTAACTTGGTCAAGGTAGGTTAATCAACAGCACAGATTTTTTTAATAGAAATAAAGGCTTAGGCACTTGTAGCAGTGCCGACAGACACGTTTGCCTTCACATTTGCCGTTGTGTTTCCATTATAAAGCACTGCCTAGATCCTTGGATATTCTAGAAGCTAAGATGAAGCTGCAATCTGGCAGTGGAGAGGAGGAGAGGTGGAGGGCCCTTGGAGAAGCCTTGGGAGCCCAGCAGGATGTGGGAGGCTTCAGGGACGGC